AGTTCAAAACCCATGTTCAGAATATGACTCCATCTGTGTGCCTGAAGGGCCTTCCTTTGACTTTCCAGCATCCCCAGAAGGTAAGCATCACTCAAGCCCCATCTCCCCAAGGCCTCTGGCTGCCATTCATGGCATTTGGGCTCCATATTCGGTCTTCTAAGGAGGTCCCAAGTTTCACTGCCATTGTCCCATCACTTCTAGGGTCTTCCCGATTAAAGGACAGATTACTTTCATTACTTGGAGTTGGCACAACTAGCACTTGCGACTTCCTGTGGCTATATCTCTCTGCATACCCACAGCTGGGAATCTCTGAGGGCTAAGACCATGTTTCCTCTGTGCAGAAGCTGGGCATTATTGCCCTCTGAACAATCCCTGACCCTTGCCATCCTTAGAACTCAGGAAGCCCAGCCAGGGCAAAACCTGAGTACTGTACACCTTCTACTCCTCTCCCAGCTTTGAAACCAAGCAGGGCATCCTTCCAGCAAGGGACACCTCTGTTAGTAAGCAGGGATAATCTGACTAGGAAGTTTCTAGCTGCGATTTGTGACAGATCTTACTAACCTCATCCCAGAAGGACAGGTCAGGAGATCATTTTACACACTGGGGACAAACTTTAGGACCCAGGACATACCTGCTTCCTGCTCCTGGACTGGTTTGGGCTACTTCCGTACCTACAGCCTGACCCACAACCACCCATACCCCTTGGAAGTTTGGGAGTCAGTAGGGATCCAAGATGGATGAGGACAGGATTCAAGTGGATGCCATTTGCTCTTTATTATTATTGTTTTCTTGTAAAGAAGAAGACAAAATGTAACAGCCAAACTCAACAATTATGAAAAGAAAGAGAGAGAGAGAAATCAGAAGCAAGTTTGTCTGTTGTTCCCAGGCTCCAGTGAAATGCTGACATATTACCGAATGCACAGATTTCCCAGCTGACAAGGGTTAACACATGAATACAAGCACAGTTTAAAGTGGTACCAAAATTAATCAATTTCACAGTAATTATTTCTATAAGCTCAGTTGCACATATCAGGGTTTCCACTGTCACAAATTCACAATGTCAGAATGAAATAGCAGATGTGTTCAGGTCTGGGAAAGTGGCATCTGTGAGGGGAGATGGATTGAGAGGCAAAAGCAGCTGGGGGATTTGTCCCAATCCTGAAGATCTGAAGGCTGGGGGTGGGTAAAGGGCAGGCACTGTTCAGCAGTCAGATGTCAGTACAGTGAAACAACTGTTGAGGCATTGAGCTTGAGAGGGTGTGCTATTTGGGTATGTTTGTCAGAGAAATTCTTGCTAGAGAGAGACTCGCTGCCCACAGTCTGAAAGGAAAAGCTCCCACGTTTGAATATTTGGAGGCGAATGATGGAGCGGCCAGTCTGACAGTGAAGCATCTGCTTTACAGAATATTTAGAAAGATACATCACGTGTATTAGTTTAAATTGCAGTCCAGTTCACAAACTATGTTATTCACAGGATAAATAAAGGAGTAGAGTGAAAGGCCGCAATATCCAACATCCTTGCGATGGAGAGAGAACAAGAGATCACCCTGTACATACAAGAAGTGCTGAACCGCAAAGCTGAAGGCACGGTGAAGGGATCCTTAATATCTTGAGCCTTTTCTTTGAAAAGGGTACTCATTTTAAACTGGATTTCTCTTACACAAAAGACCCTGAACATTGGCTAAAGCGAAGAATATTTCAAATATTTTTATGTAGCCAGAATCACAGCTACTGTGAATTGTCTTGAGTTGTGATTTTCTCGAAGTTCTGAAGTAGTGGGCTTCAAATTAATGGACTTTTACTATAGTTGCAAGCAGTCTGATTACTGTACTTTTAAATTAGCTAATTGTAGTGATTAGTATCAGTAGAGTTCCATGGCAGGGGGGTGGGGGGCTGTGCTTGTTTCTGAATCGGTGAAGTCCTGAAATGGAGCTTCATTACTTGTCAAGCTGAAAAGCCACCTAGACCAGCAGCTCTACTGCCAAGACATCCATCTCAGCCTCAACTGTGAGTGTCCACACATGAGACAGCACACATGCATACTCCTGGAAAGACAGAGCCTCCGTGAGTGAGACTCTCTCCATGATCTCTCTCTCTCGGACAAAATAACAATCTAGAGGCAGTGTTTAACTTTTTTTTTCTTCCTTCTCATGGGATGTCATTTGGTTGTCAAAAGATCAGCTCCGGCTGGGGGTTGTGATGCTCCACCCACCGGGAGAGGGGAACCATTTGGCTCTGACTACTTGACAAAAAGACACTTTCCTGTCCTGAATTCCTCATATTCGGGCTACCAAAAAGGCGATGTCCAACAGATCAGGCAGACTCCTGTTTCTGGAAGCACCCTAAGGAATTCACATTCATGGCAGTGGGATTGGAAGTTGAAAGAGAGACCTCCCGGGGCTGACTGCTCAGCACTGCATCTCCCTCAGCCAGCGCTCAACGCAGCTGTGCGGGTGGTGTGCACACGCCAGGCACCTGTGCAACCCACTCTTGCACTTGTGCTTTCATTTTGAAAACCAGAGGCAATGGGGAGTGGGGGGAGGGACAGGATCTCGATTTTTCTTTTAAAAAATCTTAAAAAGTTTTTGGTTGAAAACAAGTGACAGTCACATTTCAAGAAATTTTTAAAGACTTCTTTTTGAAAAATGAAAAACATCTAAGTAACTAGCCCCGCCATACCCAAAGTCAATAGTCACACATCTTTCCACAAAAAGAAAAAAAAAAAAAAAAAACATGCCCAGGAGTGCTCAGATTTCTTTCAGCTGCTGACGCCCACAGAACAGGAGCCTGGGCCAGGGGCATCATGCCAAAAGGGCGTGTGAGCGGGGGTTGCACAGGGTGGAGGCCTGCAGAATGGAGCTGCTTTGTCTTCTTCCAAAGCCTTTTTCAAGGAGGCAAAGGATAACAACTTTGGGGGTTGGGCGTCCAATAGTTAATGTCACTTTTCCTTGCTCAGGGTCCTGTCATCAGGCTACTCAGCCCTGGGAGGGGAGGTGACATTCCTCTTTTCAGACCGGATCCCTCCTGGTACAAATATAGCTGCACACCGGCTATTGTTTCAGATAAGCAATGAGAAAAGGCAACGTGCACACTGAGATACACACACACACACACACACAGACACACACACACACACACACACACACACACGCATAGAAGTCCAAAAACAACAAAAATGTAGCCACAAAAGAGTTAGCATTGTATCAAATCCACCTCCATACAAAGACAGAGTTTGAAAATATATGTACAGGGCATTCGTAAAAGCCAAGTGTGCACCGCAAGGAGTGATGCCGCTGTGTGCTGTACAGTCTTTTTTCTACAATGTGCTGCAGAAACCATCCCAGAGACCATGGTGCAACCCCACCTGGCAGAACATCATGAAGCATCTGAACTGAACACCACAGGCCTTAAGCAACCACCTGTGACTCTTCCCATGGCCTGTCCTCAGTCCCTGAAGGACACATGCTGCTCTCCATGGGCCAGGCCTTGGGCTTCTTCCTGCTCTCTCCCATTACCACCCAGCTGCAACTCAGATGCCAAAGGCAGCGGGCATTTCTTGGCAAGCTCCCTTTGGCTCTGATCAGCGGAGCTCATGCCCGGCTCTGTGCTGAGTAGACTTAGGATAAGTTTCTTCTCACCTGCTCCCAGGTCACACTCTGGCACCTACTTGAAGAAATATTGGGAGAGCCAGGGCTAGCCCCGAGCTTCAGGTTTCCCCAGGTCCCCCAACATGGAAAAAGCAGGGGCCTTCTAAGCCAAAAACGCCTTTGTGACGAAGGGCAAGAGTGCAATGTTGAAGGCCCAGGGGAAGGAAAGACAAAAGAATGAAAGGTAGAATGTCACCTGCTTAGCATCTCTGGCATCAGGGAGCTCTGGGGAGGATGAGAGGATGGAAAGGGTCAACTGACGGGAGATTGACTCCCCAAGTGGAGACTCAACATCAGAGGCATATGAGGGCCTCAGCTAAGACTGCTTCCTTACAACCTGCACCTTTCTAGAAGACTCTTCCTAAGGCAAACCTCACTGGCTTCCTGGCACTTCAAGCACTTCACAGGCATTTGCTCAGTCAGCCTCCAACAGGCCTATGAGGTAGGGGGAAGGATGGAAAACCCCAGCCACAGGGTCGAGTGGTCCAAGCTGGTGGCCTCACTGGGATAGGGACACAAGCCTTCTCACTGGAAGCACGTCCCAGGGCAAGTCCTCAGGGCTATAGCAGCCTCCAGAAGTCCTCTGTGGCCTGAAGGCAGGGCTGCATTCAAGGAATGAGTCCCAATGTCTGCCTTAGAGAGATATTTTGATAGAAAGAAGCTTGTCAACTGAGTGAGTTTTAAACTGCTGTGGTTGCCAATAGACCCAGGCCATGCATTCTTGCACCACACAAAAATTTGCTACAGTTTTTAAAGCACCACAGAGGAGAAATGGTTTGGTGTCGAGGTCAAGAGGATGGAGACGGAAGTAGGGGGAGGCGGTATCAACAGTGTCTAGCATGGTCACTGACAGTTAAAGGGCAGGTGCCTTCTGCCCTACTGCTGTCCAAAGCCTCATTGAAAACAGACTGGCACCTGGCAACAGCAGAGCAAACCCCAAATGGGCCTTCGACTCCAGGCCACGGGCTTCTCCACAAGTGTTTTAAAAGGGACACTTTAGGATCTTCTCCCGAGATGGGCACCATCATTAAGGAGAAATTCTCAATCTGAAGTTCAATTTCAATGCACCATTCACAAAAAGTAGGCTCATGCCAGTGGGTAGTGGTTTGAACACAGCTGGTCCACATGTCTGGAGAGACAAGCACACTAGAAACTGAATGGCAGAGTCCACGTGGGCCCCTTGGTCAATGTGGATGAGGAAACTCTGCCACCCAGCCCTCTGGCCCTCATGCTTCACACACCCTGTCCTCCTTCCAGGAATGTGGGGACAGGTTTTGGGGCAGGTGGGCATCACAGATCCATGTGATCAATTTCCCTTGGCCTCCTATGAACGGCCCGGGTGCTAGAGTTTTGTTCTATTGTGTTCATTATTTATTTGTCATGATTTTTTTCACTTTGTTTTTGCTCAATCCTTGTCCCTGTCCTCCAAATATAAGCAAGGACAGAAAGCACAGAACTGTGGAGGGAAAGGGGTGCTGAAAGGCTGGCTTCCCTCCCTTACCCCTGTGGTCCAGGGCTCCAGACACAGACAGGCCTCCAGCCAGCCCCACAGCCCCCAGGCCGGGCCTTTGGACATTCTGGTTACAATCAACTCAATGGGGTGATTCCTTTGGCATAAGAGAAGCCAGTTCCTGATGGAAAGACAGGATGTTGGAGGCTTGGGGGTCATCCCAAAGAGTTGGGCACTTTGGCCTTTGGCTCTTCCGGGAGCTTTGACTCATGCGTGGTCCCTACCCCCACCCTCCCCACTTGTCTGTGACAGCTGACTTCCTAAAACTCCGCAGTTAGGGAATTATTTGGCAACAAGGAGGCTAAGGCTGTTTTGTGGTGGCACAGTCTTTAAAAAGTTCAAAAGAAAATATGAGACCTCAGAAAGAGGCGTTCATCCGGGACAGGGCATAAACGTCCCACTATTTGTCAGCGCCAGGGTTGGCGGCCACTATCTCCTCGTACTTTGGGGGTGGGTCGCTGTAAGACATGCTGGCCTCCTCACTGCTGCTCTCTTGGGGCGCAGTCACCTCCTCGTAGGAGGGGGGAGGGGTGGTGCTGGACAGTCTGGAGAGAGAGAGCTCAGGGAGGTAGAGAGTGCTCTCGAGTCGGACTGTGGTCCTGCCCCCCCGACTGGGCCCCACCACCACCTGGGGGCTGCTCACTGCCTCTCGGTGCCCAGAAGGCTCCCCTTGACTATGCATGGTACCCCGGTACACCATGACCCGGGGGAGGGTGTGCCCGGCGCGACTGGCTAGGTACCGGTTCTGAGCATAGGAGGGGTGGTGACGGGTCGCTTTCTGCAGCTGGCACCTCCAGATGATGAACAAGGCGATGACAATCAGCAATGCCACCCCCAGAAGGGGTACCACCACGTACATGGCATCTGAGCTCTGTGAGGGGTCTCGGACTGAGTATACTGCATTTGGGTATCCCTTCCAGAACTCCATCTGCAAAAGAAAAAAGGGGTACTTACGAGAAGCTCAAGCTCCAGGTGGGCTCAGAGACCTTCAGTAAGTCTGCTGCTTCCTACCCTTCCCCATCTGACTTGTCTCAGAGAGTTACTAGAGAGGTAGCAGAATGTACCAAGGGCAAAGGACAATGCTCCCAAGTGAGGAGGACCCCCAGAGTCAGACAATGGGACTGTATGGACTTTATCTGCTCCTTGATGGCCCTAGTGGCTATGCCTTACGCTGGGTGGCTTTCCTTGCTTCTGACTCATCTGCATTACCAGGGCCTGTTCTTGTTATTCCTGAGGCTACTTCTACTCCCAGAACCAGCCCCAGGGTGGTACATGCCGTTTTCTCTTTGTTCTCAAACACTTCCTTGACCTCCTCGTAGCTGCAGATCTCCTCCATGCACTCTCGCTCGATGGTGCCCTGGCGCAGCTCCTCCAGGAACTCATTGGCACGAGGGAATCGTTTCAGGACCGAATGGGCATCCTTGGCCTCCAGAAAAACTGAAGAGAGAGCCCTACTGAGGCCTGGAATGGGGAGATGCCCAGGGGCTCCTTCAAACCAGGCCCAGCCCAGCAACTGAAGCATAATTACGCAGGGAAACAAGGCCGAGTGAGCAGGCAAGACACTAGGCTTCTGATCAAAGGACATGGCCAGCCCTTTATAAAAGGGATGGAAAGGCTGACATTCTATGGTGCCATGATACACCTGTCTAGAATACCATGGCCCCAACAAGGCTCAGGCCCCTGGTTACATGGAAGAAAATGGGAGCCAACTGCAAGGAAAGTGCACGTTGCACAGGAACAATAAAGAATAAGGACTGTGAGTAGGCAATCTTCAGTGACTAAATCTCCAGTATCTTTTGCATCACCTTGAAAAGTGAAAGTTGGAGCCCTTGCAATGAGAATGTATTCCTCTTTAAGGCTGATACTGGTAGAACTAATACCAGATAATCCTAGAAGACTCTACCAGGGTGGCATTCCTCCACCTGAACATCCACCTGTGCCACCAGGTTGTCTGGCATCAATAGTCTTGTTCAAGAAAGCCTAATGCAAAGCCAGCCTGGGCTAGATCAGACAGGTGGGCATACACGAGCCTAAGAGCACCTCTGGAGATGGGAAGTAGCAGGGCTCAGATGGAGAGTCTAAGCCTTTACAGACAGGGCACAGACTCCCCCTACAATACTGTCTTTGGATGGTGCGCATATCTACTTATTCCAGAGAGAGAGACCCAGCTACAACCAGGCTGACCAGAATAGCTTGAGCTCTGCACCCACATAAGCCTAAGTTGAGACTGTGAAGGATGAAAGAAGAGGTGACGTTTGCTCCTGTTGTTCACCTAGAGGGGACTTCCTGGTTCCCATGTAAAGCAACTCCCCCTGGATGCCCAAGCTGGCATGTCTTTGCCAGTGGGCAAGCACCCTTCCCCAGGTCCTATGGCCTGTCACGTTAGTGTCACTCAGGCAAGTCTGGGTAGGTACACATCTACAAGTAACATATGCTCCAGAAGGGAGCCAAAGTGTTGAGAGGGCAAAACTGCTACTCAGCTATTTGGAAAATGGCTACAGGGCCACTTGGGGGGTGGGGGGCAGGGAAGCTGGGAAGGACTTGAAACCTGACTCATGAACCCCTAAGCATGACCCTCCACGGCTCTGCCCGGGTCTGGGAAAACTCACCTGCCATGATGCTCCCTCAGCTCCAGGGTCTCACTTCTCTGGAGTAAGAGAAAAGCAAAGTTGCAGTGAAACCACATCTAGAAATTTACAGGGAACCCTCTTGGCTCTAGGATGTGCCCCCTTCCCACTGGCCTGGTCAAAAGGTTGAAGCAGCACCTTGTGGGGTGCATCATCCTCCATGCAGCCACCCATAGCTTCTGCTGCTTCTGATTCTGCCCCAAGCTCTTCTCCAGAGACCTCCCCAGGCCCAGCAGGGCCCAAAGCAAACCTTTAAGCGTTTTCCCCCAAGAACATGTTCTGAGCATCTATAAGAACCAGGGGTTGACCTTTTTCTTTAAGAAAGGAAAGCTCCTACAGACTGAGGCTCCTCCTTCCTTGCTCCCCTCAATGAATCTTTGCAACTTCCAGTTGGAAAGGACCTCAGAGATACATGAGGAAATAAAGCCCAGAGAGACGTGCTCAGACAAGGTTAAGCAAATCAACAGTGACAGTGGCAGGACCAGAATTCACAACTAATTTTGATCACAATGGTGAGTCACAGATACCTCCAATGATAAGCACGTTCCCTGAAAACAAAGCTTAACACATCATCAACCATCTCAAAAGTCACTGCCCTGCTGGGACTAGCCTACAGCAATCTTCAATTGACACATCTTCTACAGGGTCTCATCCTCCATGCACAGCAATGCTGCATTCTTCATATTCCCAGGCATATCCAGAAGACCCAAGCCCAGGTGACCCACTGTGTTCATCTTCACCAAAGAGGCAAGATACCTGGAATGTTCTGGAACCAGGCCTCTCTTCTCTCTTTGCATTAAATCCTATAGCAGTAGAGTATCAAGACATGAATTTAGATGACCAACACTGAGATGCCAACTAGAAGAGTTGCCCCTAATGTGAGCTATTGTCCGAAAGCCTTTCTCCTGCTAAGGAGCTATCCAGCCAGTACTTAAACCGTGGTCACAGCACACTGCTCCCTCTGTCCCTCCCCACAACACACACACCCACTCATACACACATTCTGGAGCCCTTGCTGAGCTGTCCACATCTGGGAGCAATCACCCCACTGCTCCCCTCCCCAAGCAGAAGCTCTGGTTTTATGACTAACTGGTTGCAAGACACGTGAACTGCGGAATCCATTGAGCCCTCCTTTTTGCCTAGGCTGCCAGGAAGTACAGCGTCACTATTGCCAGTCAAGTACAGGCACACTGGAAGCCCAGTTGTTAAGCACATATGCTTCTCTCCTGTGATGTGGTAAACAGCTTTCTATTTATGTTTTCAGTGTCTTATTGTGCATGTATAATATGTCACCTAATCCTTTTGGCAAACAGTTGGGATATAAATCAATAATTTAGGCTATCGCAGTGGCTCATGCCTGTAATCCCAACACTTTGGGAGGCTGAGGTGGGCAGATCACCTGAGGTCAGGAGTTTGAGACCAGCCTGACCAGAAAATGGTGAAACCCCATCTCTACTAAAAATACAAAAATTAATTGGGCACGGTGCCATGCACGCCTGTAGTCACAGCTACTCAGGAGGCTGAGACAGGAGAATCACTGGAACCAGGGAGGCGGAGACTGCAGTAAGCCGAGATTGCGCCACTGCACTCCAATTTGGGCAAGAAAGAAAAGAAAGCAAGAAAGCAAGAAAGAAAGAAGAAGGAAAAGAAAGAGAGAGGAAGGAAGGAAGCAAGGAAGGAAGGAAGGAAAGGGAAGGGAAGGGAGAAAGGAAGGGAGAAAGGAAGAAAGGAAGAAAGGAAGAAAGAAAGAAGAAAGAAAGAAAGAAAGAAAGAAAGAAAGAAAGAAAGAAAGAAAGAAAGAAAGAAAGAAAGAAAGAAAGAAAGAAAGAAGCAAGAAAGATGTGGAGGGAGGAGGGAAGGAAGGAAGGAAGGAAGGAAGGAAGGAAGGAAGGAAAATTAAAGGTAAAACAGCAAATCTAACACCTATTTGTGGAAAAGCTACATCAAGGGGCTTTCTCTTTTGAAACCTGTAACAATCCCATTCAAAACTATCAACATGTGAATTTGCCAACAGATGGGACTGCCTTGTGAGACAGTTGGCCCTCAATGTTTGTCAGAACCAAGATGGAATATGATCTCAAAATTATGCTTGCATTATGGATAGCTGAGCTTTATGTGGTGAGGGTGTGGATGTAGTATGCCTCATGGCAAGGATTTTTTGATTGAAGAAAAATGGAGCTGTTGTATCTGGGTTTGAAAAGAATGCATATAGTCTTAACTAATAAGGGAAGAGAGAAAAATATGTTGCATTGCTTATCAAAGGAAACTGTAGTGGTTTTTTTTAAAATGTGGAAAAATTTACATAATAGATTATATATATCCATCTTTTGTCCCCCACACACCTAGCCTTGGTCAAAGATGGCTATATGTCACACCTATCATAGACCCAAATACATGTTATCCTGACGCATCTGCTAAAGTCATCAGTTCATTTTTAAGCTTCAGTCGAGCCGGGAGCCCCCCAAAACAGTTCCCACGGCATGGTCCACTCCATTAGCAATTCTGTAGCCACCTTCACTGCTGCTGCCGCCTGCCATGAGGCCTCTTCCCCCTCCCTCCCCAAAATGTAGCGCCTGCTTCTTCCCCTATAAATACACCATCAATAGACAGTTACTATGGCAACAATAAGGAAGCAAGCGTGAGGGCTCCACGACAGAGAATGATGCTGCAGCCATACATGTATATGTCCCTCCTGCCCCTGGTGGATACTGTAAAGCTGACTGTAGGCGGAAGGAATTTTTAACCCACTCCCCACAGGAACACAGCTGAATCCTGACAGCCTGGAAAGGAAGGAAGGCAGGGAACTGGCCACCACAAAGACCTTGCTTAACTCCACCCCAGACTGAAGCTTCTGAATCTCAGCCCTCTGGGACACAACTCCCAAAGTCCTTCACATGAAGCCTGGTGACCACCAGAGCACCTGGTGTCCCAAGACATGGCCTCCAAACCACTTCTCCATACCCTAGACCTTATTTCCATCCCTCAGAACTGATCGCCAGGAAACGGCTCCGTGATCTCCAAATCGCATGACTCATCGACCCACCCAGTGACACGACAACTCCCAAATTATGCTCAAACTCAAACTCTGGGGCCCCCTTGTCCCTTTCCACTCAGACCAGCTCTGAAAGTGCCTGTCCTCGCCCACCTTCGCTGGACACCAGCGCCCTGACCCAGCAACAATCTTCTCCCGGGGCTGCTCAAGATCCCCCCATCACCGTGGCCCGGCCAGGCCTCTAGCTCTTCCCTCTCCAACAATGCCCTGCGCCCAGCTCGTTGGCCCTGGACACTGAACCGTGCCCTCGGGACTGGGACACCCAACCCAAATGGCCTCACCGTTCTCCGGGCCCAGAAGGCGGCCGCCCTGTTTGCGCACGCAGCCCGCCACCTCGCTGCTGCGCCTCTTCCAGCAGGGGCCCTGTCCCCGCCCACCTGCTCCCCGTCTGCCAAGCCCCCCGGTCCGGCCCAGTCGTCTCCTCCCTCCCTCCCTGCTGCCCTCCCACCGCCCCAGGTACCCTGTCGCCCGCCCCTCCAGGGCCGAAGTGCGCCTGGAAACCCGCCCCTCGCAGCCGGGCGCCCAGGCCCTGCCCATTACCTCGGCACCCCCCTGCCTGCCCCTGCTCTCCTCTGGGAGCTCCGCAGCTGCCCGCCCCCCACACCCCGCCGCGCCAGGGCTGGCCTCGCGCCCCGCGCCTCGCGCGCCACGACCGCAGTGCCCCGATCGCCAGGCCGCGATCGTCGCGCTGCCCTGCGCACCGGGCCGCCGGGTCTCCTGGCCGAGTGGAGGAAGGAGGGGTGGGGGCGACGGAGTGGGCCGAGGGGGTTGGGAGAGCGGGCGGGCAAGCTGGGCCGGAGGGGCGGCGGCGCGCACCGAGCACAGCGCGCCCGCGCCCCACTCTGCCGGCGCCGCCCCTGCCCCCGCCCGTGCCGCCGGGGGGCGGGGCCTGACTGGCGGGCTTGGGGCGCACAGAGGACCCTTGGCCAAAGCCCTGGTCCAGTCGTGACCCAAGGCGTGGGCCCTCGGAAGATACCGCGCAGCAGGGAGCTCGGGCGGCCGCTCTCAAGGCCCGCGCGCCAGGCGTCCCTGCGCAGCCCAACCCCCGTCCTGTCCCCACTCTGGGCTCACCTGCCATTCAGGCCCGCTCGGCTCCTGGGGCCGCCGAAAAGAGACGGGATCTAGCCTGCAGCCTAGGCCTGCCTTGCCAGGGATCCACAGGGCCCGCAGAAGAAGGGCCGAGTCGAGGCCGCGTTCCGCCAATGACTGGGTGACCTTGGCTTCCTCACTTACCTAACCCCACCCTGCCCCTGGGAAGACAGGCTTCTCTCCTGCAAAGTCCGAGAAATGGGGAGAATTCTGCCTCCCTCGCGAGGCTGCAGCGAGTTGAAGGAGGAAATGGGTTTGGAAAACTCTAAGGCTCAGTAAGGGGAGAAGGAATCTTCTGGGCCATCTAGTGCAAGGAGCGCTAGATGGGGGCTCCTTTGGAGGCCGCACTGTGAGAGGTTTAGCATGGCAGGACAAGACGCATAGCAGAGATTACACTAGTCCAGAAAGAACTACATGACAGGTCGACTGCTAAGAGAGGGGCAAGGGGGTTCCGAGTGGGCTAAGGCTCTGGGTCTAGGAAAGCCTTCCTCCGAAAAGGGGATGCTGGGTTTTCAGGGTTCCTTTTTGTTCTCTGCACCTCTAGAACCCGACCAGGCACTGGTGTTGGCGTCCTCTTCCTCCCTCCACCCCAAGTGTTGCTTTTGATGGGAATGAGTCTCAGAAGGCGTTTCCAGAACCACTCCCACCCCTATCCCAGGGCGGGTATTAGCCACCTGCCCTGCAAGGGGGCGGAAGAGGGGTGGGAGAAGGTCTTCACTGCCACAGGCCGTCTCCTCTCCAACACCCAGGGCCCAGCTCCCCTAGCTCCCCCGATGCCCACCCCTACATTTCTCTCCCCGCATGGTGCTTTCCCTTCCATTTCTGCCTCCTGTTAAGAGTTCTTCCCTAGCTTGCTTGCTATTCCACGGCTGCAGGAATCTTCCTTACCCAGGGCAGCTCTTCTACGGCCTTCCTCCCATGCCCCCGGAGCCTGTGGGGCAGAGTTCCACAGGCTCTTCTGGAACTAACCTCCTGAGTTTCCTAGCCCACCAGCATGTTCCCATCCTGATCTTAACACGGCATAGACCCTTGTACAGCTGACTGTTGAAAAAGCAGCTCTTCCAGTATGTGCACAAGGGTCTATGGCTTCTGCCCTCCTCCTGGCACTCCAACTTTAGCTTCTGGCTCCAGCAACATGAGGCTACTTCTACTTCCCACTGCCCAGAATGCCTTTCCTCCCACTGTGGAGCCAGAGCACTTGCATTCATTCTTCCCACACAGTGCGCATGACATCTCTACTGTGAGGTCTTGCAGGATCTTCCCCGCACCCCAGTCCACCATTCCACTCTCAGGACTATCTGAAGAGACTATGAACATGGGAGCCTTGGAGGATAGCAAGCGGGGGGAGGCAGAATAGCAGTGCCTCTGGAGCGTACTGCCTGCTGCATCTCTTGGCAGTACTACCTAGTAGGCTCTATTATCTCCAGCAAGTGATTTGACCTCTCTGCATCTTGGTTTCCTTACCTTTCATATGGGAATGATGCTAACAGTGCCTGCCTCAAAGCGTTGCTAAGGGGTAATGGAGCTAATCATATAGAATGTGCCTGGCGCTTAAGTGTGAGCTTAATGCACATCAGCTGTGGCCTGCATCCAGCTGCGTTGTGTTCATTTGGTAGCTCACTTATGTGCACACTTGCCTCCTCTCTTGGGGCCGGGGACCTTGTCTCTTCCTATGTCCCTAGCATCTCACACAGAGCCACATCCACAGCTGGTGCTCTCTAGAGCCTTGTAAAGCTGAGACTGGAGAGGCTGGGGCTGAGAAGGCCTTCATTGCCTTCTTACCTGCCCCCATTTCTGTATCAAATCCCATTTTGCAGAGACGGAATTGTGGGTGTATGATCCATGGAGTCAGACAGGGCCCTGTGCTTAAGAGGGCTCTGGACACTTGGCTCAAGGCTGTGCTATCACCATCTTGAAATTCTAATGCTTTTTGAACAAGAGGCCTTCGTTTTCACTTTCACTGGGTCCCACAAAGTATGTAAGCCATGGTGCCTATGAGTGGCATCTCCAATATCCCCGATCCTATCCCAGGGAACAGAATTCTCAATCACCCACCACTTGTGACTCCTTACCTTCTCCCCTCTGCAAGCCTTGACCAGTTGCCTCTTTCCTCACCACCAATTCGATTACCTTCCTCCACATTGCCCCTCCCTAGCCCCATCCCTGTGCCTCACCCTTTGGCTAAGAGGAGCACTCTCTGCCAACCTCATTTACTCCCAGAGTTTCACTCTTTCCCCAACACTCATCTGTTCCAGAATTGAATGGATAACT